GTCATTGTTGTTTGGCGGGTCCGGGCTGGGGATTCGAACCCGCCACCTTAGGTGTACGTGGCTGGCGCCTTAGCCGGTTGAGCTATAAGCGCCGAGCCATAATGTTTTTTTCAAACTAAATGCAGCTTGTGATATTTTTACAGGCAGTCCCTAAGTTACAAACATCTGACTTACATATAACTCACATGTACAAAGAGGGGCAATTATAGGTAATAGGTAAATGCACCTAGTCCAATTTATATGCAAATTCAACGTAAGAACAAACGTACAGGCCCTATCTCATTTGTAACCCAGGGACTGCATATAATTGTCATAAATGGAATTTAGAGGAGAAAATCAGTTAGGGCTACCACAATCATTGAGTATCCAAAAAGGCTGGAGCTGATCTAGATAGCAATCCCAGCATAAACTGAGAATGAGAGTTGATTTTTTAGAGACAGAGTTTCACTTTGATGCCCTTGGTAGAGTGCCGTGGTGTCATAGTTTAAAGCAGCCTCAAACTCTTGGGCTTAAGTACTCCTCTTGCCTTAGCCTCCCAAGTAGCTGGGACTACAGGCATCCACCACAATGCCCAGCTATTTTTAGAGATAAGGTTGGTTTCACTCTTGTTCAGGCTGGTCTTGAACTCCTGAGCTGAAGCAATCCACCCACCTCAGCCTTGGAGAGTTGATTTTTTTTTTAGACAGAGTCTCATTCTTTCACTCTTGGTAGAGTGCCATGGCATCATACCTCACAGCAACCTCTTCTTGGGCACAAGCAATCTTCTTGCCTCAGCTTCTCAAGTAGCTGGGACTAGAGGCACCTGGCAATTTTTTTAGAAATGGAGGTCTCATTCTTGCTCAGTCTGGTCTCAAACTCATGAGCTCAGGTGATCCACCTACTTCAGCCTCCCAGACTGAGGCTCAGCTAGGATTACAGCCATGAGCCACCACACCCCACCCCCAAGAGTTGATTTTAAAGAAGGAAAAGAAATGTGGGCCTAGCTGCCTTTGTTGTGTGGATTCCATAAATACCGAAGAGGAAATAAGGTTTTATTTTGTATACTACATAACTAGACTTGTTAAAATAATTTATAAAATTGGGGTTCCTTGAAAAATAGGTAGTATATGGCTCGGCGCCTGTGGCTCGACTGGCTAAGGCGCCAGCCACATA